ATATGGAAACGAATCGTCGAATCCAGTCTCAGAGAGAGACATCTTCGGACGAGCTGACATGTAAGACTCTAATGTGTGAACAGCTGTGCGACAAATACAAGTTGATGTATTGGGCTTTGTCAAAGTGTATTTACAAGTTGATTCACTCCTCCGGAGTTGAGTAAGTCGTCTTCACTATACCTTTGCTTGGTAAACGGGCTCATAAATATCATCCAGTCTGGTTGCTGAAGAGTGAGCACGAAACCCTACCCAGCTTCATCGTTGAACACCTCGTAGACTTTGAACATGTGGCTCCTCTGTAAACCTGGTTCATAGTTTGACCTAACCATATCAAAGTAACCACAACTTACAGCCTCCATTTGGTAACACTTTTATCAGTCCACATTCCTTGTTTTCAGTGACAGTAGAATTTCCCATGCCTTCCGAATAGGTTATCCACTCTCTTTGATTTATGAGTTAGCAAATGATTAAAAAGATTCATTTTGTTGGATTGAAGAATGAAACGATGAACGTGTGGTGGCTTAATCACTGTTGTAGTTAGAAAACCAACACAGTATGACAGATATTTTGACATCAGTTTGTCGTATTCAATATCGGTTGAAGCATGTGTATTGAGGTGTCTATGAAACAGAGCTAGGAAGGTCACCAGTGAGTCAGAGGAGCTGAAACATGTACAGTAAACATAATCATTCAACATTCATACTCTGGATTTGATAAGGGAATTCATAAGAACGCATTAGGAGAGAAGTAGTAATAGTATTACGAAAAGTAACCGCAACTTAAATGGAAAGAAGTGTGAAGTCTCTTTTGTGTTACTATATGAAGAAAAAGTATTCGAATCTTGATATAGAATTCTCGACAGTTCTGGGATTAAGGTGACATTGAAACCTACACACCCACTTTGAGATTAACTTTGTATGTTTTAGTATCCTATTTGCCCAATTCAACGAAATAATTTCACCTTCCAAACGCCATACAATGACAATGAGGTGAAGTACATTGTCAGAGCTGCGGATGAAGAGCAGTTAGGTTATGGAAGCATAAGAAATTAGCTAAGTTTAGCATGATAGACTCATCAAGTTAAGTAATGTAGAGGAGAATTGAGTCAGTGAGAGGGCTTCAAGTGTTTGACCAGCGTTGCCTTCGTAGTATAGGCCGTATTCATGGTGTCACCATGTGATTAATGCAGAAGTCAGGAGTAGAGTTTTAGGGGTTAGAGGTAAGTCAGTTGACGAGGTTATGAACCTTCATCGATTGAGATGGTTGGGACACGTACTACGTATGCCTCGTCACACAATGTTGTAAAGTAGGTCCAGGCTGGAAGAAGGCCCGAGGTGGCCAGACTAAAACATGGCACCAATGTATGAAGTCTCAGAATGTTGGTCTGAGCCATGTGGGGCGGAGATGCAGACTAGGTGGTTGGGTCCGTAGGACAAGAGGAACCAGTGGTTGGGGACTGTAGATGATATGGCTCAGAACCGATGTCAGTGGTGCAGATGTATACACACATTATCGTCATCTTAACGACGCTATACCGAATCTCACCATTTTGTCATTTCTCTTTTCTTTCTTTTCGTACTTAATATTTCTTTTGACTGCATTCTCTTATCTTCATGCTTCACCTCACTACCTTTCTAGTTGATGTACTGATATGAGGTGTTGCAACTTTGGCCGTTACTCAGTAATGCCTGGTCCTATGTTGATGTTGATTGATTGATTGATTGAATTCAGTCATTGCTATGCAGGCGATCGGACAAAACCATGTAATAGGGTTGAACAGAGTCATATTATTATTGAATACTGTAAGGTGTAGTGGTTGACTACTGAGTCGGTTTTCAGCTAATCGAAACCCAGCTTGTGCAATAGGAATTTTGGGAAAGTTAGAACATAATTTTTGAAGGGAACGAATTATGTAGGCTTCTTGAAACAATAAGAATTGTTCACCACGAATCCTACCAATGAAATTAAAGGATAAAAAACATTAGAACTGTGCAAAGGGAGTTGAACTGCTGCAATTATATCATGGAATTACTGGACGTTTAACCGAATTCCTTCAGCCGGTGAAAAATCAGATCACTAATTACAGTACTCCTGACTCCTTCGACTTGGTTAACTTCATAAGAAATGTCAACCTGTGTGGTGAGCGTATCTTATCATTGAACGTCATATCGTTCTTCACTCACAGATGCCCATTTAATGGGAAAAATCTGCTTCCTATTTGACTATATTGAGATTGACGAGCTTAAAATTGGAATTGCTAATCATTATCTGAAGGAATTTCTCTTACGATGTACCTTTATTATGCAATTTAAATTCAATAGTGAACTTTATCAACAATCGGATGGAGTGACAGAGGGTTCACCGTTGCATCCTCTCCTATGTGATTTCTTCATGGCCAATCTGCAGAACAGTAAACTACGTCCCCTGATCGACTAGTTTCATCCACATAAGAGATAAATGGATGACACTTCCATCATCTGTGAGGAGGATAGTAACCTTGAAGGAATACAATGAAAGTTCATTGATTGTCATGAGTCAAGTGAATTTACCACGGGAACTGAAAATCACTAAGAATTCCACCTTCTGAAGGTTCTATTGAAAAGAAGACATCATAGTTGCCTAAGAAGATTGATTTACAGAGAACGAAGGTGGAATGGTCATTACATTCCTTTTGCAAAGCTGGGTTCCACTAGTCAGGTTCCTAATGGAACATAGGGCTTCACTAGCACGTCTCCAGTGAACTCTGTTCTCTGAAATCTTTTGAACCTGGCTCCACGACGGCCCAGAAGCTCTCATTTCCTCCTTGCACGATCTCCTCCATGTCACCCTCAGCTGGGACGTCGAACTCGTCGCTTTCCATGGGGATTTCACTCGAGGGCCTGACGCGTGATATCCCCAGTCGGCCTTCTCAGTGTATGCTCAATCCATCTCCACTTCCTTCTGCATATTTGTTGGGTGACAGGTTCTTGGTTGGTTCGTTCCCAGAGCTCCTTGTTGCTTATTCTTTCTGGCAATCCATCTGATCTTCAGTAACTAGCCAGCGTAGGCAGTTGTTGATGAATGTCTGTAGTTGATTGGAAATCCCTTTCGTGACGCGCCAAGTCTCTAAATCATACAGAAGCAGTGACTTGACTGAAGTTGGTGTTGAAAATCCGGATCTTGCTCACGTTTTATGCTGAGTGCAGAAGATCTCCTCACTGGTTTGAGGCTAATGAACGAAGGCCTATCTTGCTTTTCCGATTCTGACTTTGACGTCCTCGTCTGTGCCACCGCTGCCTGTAGTTGAAACAGTGCTTCCTAGATAAGTGAAGGAGGTTACTTCCTTTTAGTTTCTCCCGTTGATGGTGATTGGAGTTTGTTGTTGTTGTTGATGGTGGTGGTGCGGTATCTTCATCACTTCTGTCTTCTCTATATTCACCTGAAGTCCCGTCTTCGCTGCCCTGCCTCTTCTGTCAACTTGTTAGTTTTCGCCTGTAGATCTTCAAGTTTGTGTGACATCAGGCACAAGTCATCACTGGCGAAATCCAAGTCTTCTGGGTTCTTTTCCGCAGTCCAGCCAGCGTATCCCCCTCTTCTCGCTCCCCACAGTTGTCAGCTGCATGATCCAGTCCAGTCGACCAGAATCAGGAATATCATGGGGGATAGTAGGCAACATTGTTTGACTCCTGTCTTCACTTCAAAAGCATCACTGAGCTTCCCATTGTGAATTACTTGGCTGGCATGTGGCGTCTTCATATAGTTGTTGAATGAGGCTGATAAAGGTTTGCGGTATTCCGTAGTAGTGAAGCAGTTTCCAAATTACCTCTCTGTCGACGCTGTCAAAGGCCTTCTCAAAGTCGATAAAGTTGAGGTGTGTAGTTGACTGCCATTCTATGCTCTGTTCTATGATGATGCGAAGCGTTTCAATTTGGTCCGCACATGATTTGTACTTCCTGAATCCAGCCAGCCAGCCTGTTCCGGTCGTAGTTTTGAATCCAGCGCATCCTTTAGCCTCTCCAAGATGATGCGGCTTAATATTTTGCTTGCTTTGGGTGGGCAGGAGAGTGATTCCAGGCCAGTTCTTGCAAACACTGAGGTCTCCCTTCTTCGGGAGTTTGACAAGGTAACCCTTCTTCCAATCGATTGGCAGGTACTTTCTCTTCCTTCCACACCTTCTGCAATAGTGGTGTGAGCATGTCCGCTGCTGTTGTCTCTGTGTCTGTTCTCAGTGCTTCTGGCTGGATCCCATCTGGTCCTGCTGCTTTCCCGCATTTCAGTGGCTTAATGGTGTTCAAGACTTCCATTTTTGTTGGAGGATTTATGTTCACTTGCAGTTCAGCTGCTGCAGGTTGCATTTTTAGACGAAGTGCAGGTGGTGGTGGTGGTCGATTCAAGAGCTTCTTGAAGTGGCCGGCCCATTGTTTCTTTTGCTTCTCTACTTTCGTAATTAAATTTCCGTCATCCTCTTTTATTGGTTTCGTCTGCATTGATCTCTTCCCAGATAGCAACCTGGTTATTTGATACAATGTCGTCAGGTCTCTCTTACCTGCAGCCTGTTCTGCTTCACTTGCCAGTGTGTCGTAGACGTGTCTTTTGTCTTTCCGTGCACTCTTATTCACTTCTTTGTCCAGTGTTTTATACATTTTAACCGGTATACATTGCAGTGCACTGGTTCCTCTGCTGCTTCACCATCCCCCTCTCCTCCATAAGCTTCCATGTGTCCATCGAGATCCATTCTCTATCTTCTTTCTTCTTCCTTCCTAATACGGCTGTGCAGGTTTCTTTCCACATAGCTTTCAAAGACTTCCAGTGTTCTTCCACACAGATTTCTTCAGGGATGTTCCTCGACATCTCCCATTTTGTCTTGATGGCTGTCGTGAAGATCTCCTTTGTAGTTTCATCCTTCAGTTTCCGAGTGTTGTACTTGAACTGTGGTCTAACACCAGCTACCTTGAGGGCTTTCAACTTGATTTTGAAGGTTCCTTGCACTAGACAGTGGGTGGTGTGAACCTACATCTGCTCCTCTTCTTGACCTTGTGTCAAGCAGACTGCATCTCCGCTTTCTTGAGATTGAGATAAAGTCGACTTGATTTTTAGTGTGTCCATCTGGTGTCTGGTGAAATCCATGTCGCTTTATGGATATCCTTGTGCTTGAACATACTGCCTCCAATCACCAAATCGTTGAATGCACAGAATTCTGCAAACAATTCTCCATTCTCGTTCATCACCTCACCTAGCGCTTCTTGACCCATGGTTAGTTCTCTTCCTGTGTTCTCCCCTCCCAGTTTGGCATTCATGTCGCCCCACCCATTAGAATTTTGATATCGCCAACTGAGGCGGTGTCTTGTCCAGTGTTGATTGAAGTTGTCTGTAGAATTCCTCCTTTTTCTCTTGCTCTGCAATATTTTTAGGTGCGTAGCATTGTATAATTGAGACCTTCCTTCCTTTGAGTTGAATCTTGCTGTCATGATCCTGATCCTGCAGGAGGAGATTGATTCCCACTGCATGAGAGCCTTCGATGCTGTTGGGGACATCATGATAGCCACTCGATAACTCAGTGTGCTGTGCTCGTGGTTGTTGTCTGGGTGACCGGAGTAGATTACTGGTTCTCCAGCTGACAGTTTGGAGAGTCATCTCCCATTCCATCTGCTTCCGCAAATTCCAAGCGCCTCAACGTGATACCTTCTCATCTCGTTTGCAACCTGGGCTGCCTTGCTGGATTCAAACGTGGCGCGGACATTCCATGTCCCCATGTTTACTTTTGCCTTCATCGAGGGAGAGAAGACACATCAGCTAATTGGCTTCCCGAAGGCTTTCACCAACTGGCGTCATTTCGCCTCTCCGATCCCAGCGAGGAATAGGCTTGTTATTATTTTTTATATTTTGTTTGTGCTTTGAAGTTTGTTTAGCGGTTATATTTGTTTTCCGGGGTAGGGTTGCTGGTCGTATGCCCAACCTTCCCTGTTTATCGGGGCTTAGGACCGGCTAGTAACTAGTGAACTAGTTAACCAGGCGAGGTTCAGGAAAAGAAAACTAGTTCATTCATTATCCACACAAATTAGAAGAATATATGCTGATGATACAGTAGATGAGTATCTGGAAGAACTTCGAAGAGTGTTAGTCGTGAATGGCCTAGCCTTCAAGATTCATTGAGAGGAACATGAGGCCTAAGAATTTCAAAGAAGAAGCCCCTACAGTTCCTTAGATGACACTATTTATGGATATTGGATTCGAGGGAGATACACTGACAGAGCTACTGAAGAAGACCTTATTTTCCGCTCAGTTTTGAATTGTTTTCTGCAGTGGACAACTGACTCGAGTGTGAGGAGAGGGTAAACCACCGCTTTGCACCACCTTCATATTTGTTTACCTGTTGACCTGCTGTTGTGGAGCTGGTTACACAGGCCACATAAGACGTGTTCCATCCAAACCCATCTCCGAACACTGTCCTGCATGGCTGTCTAAAGGACAGTGTAAAGCCGTCAACAGCTCGATTCTTAAGCATTTGATTATCTCTGACCACTGTGCTCTACGAGAGTCTTCTTTCAAAGTCATTTATAAAGTGAAGGCACACATTTCGGAGTGAGTGAGTATTCGCCACCTGAACACAATGGGAGCTGTGGAATTTCAACATTACAAGCTTGATCGTTGTGTTCAGGAAAGATTTATTCAGTTTTTCTAGTTTTACCTTGGTCACATTCTCTTTAATACAGTTCAATCCTTTGTTTACTGTTTGTGTATTTGGTATAATCCAAGCAGCAATTTTTGATTACCTTTATTTGTCTTTCTAGCCATTATCTCCTTGTAGTTTAATTAGCCGTTTTCGATGACTTTGTATTGACTCATTAGTCAGTGTTGGATACACATTTTGTTGTAACTATGATTACTATTTACAGCTTTTAAAATGATTTGTCAAAAAAAATTGTATTCGCTTAGTCGTCTTCCAATAATTTTTTATAATCTTGATAGGACTATTTCGACTGTTGAAATTATCAGCTATAAAGTAGACTGTTGTCGTTACCCAGTAAAAAGTGCTGTACTGTTATGTACAACAGCCAAGGAACTAATCGAATATGACACTCTTACACTATGCTTTTTTCACATTTTCACGTCTTTCCTTTTCTGTCACCATTTTTTGTATGCCAGTTATCTGAACGGATATAGTCTTTTGTGATGTCCTGTTTTCTTTTTCTATTCACTACTTCCTCTTCGAAGCAGTTGTTTAGCAACCAGGCTTCGTCCTTGAATTTCATTTCGGCAATAGGTAGCTGAATAATACGTCAGCAAAATAGTAGATTTACTTTGATTGATCACTAGAAGTTAATCAAATTCGTGTATTGTAGCTCCAAGTGCCTGATATTTTGTATTGGAAGATTACAGATATGGTCTGCTGAGGGGTGTTAACAATCACGAAACATAGATCTGGAGCTACCCGATGGTTACCTCCGAACACGTAACAGTTTGGTGTTTATCTGTTTTGATGAAAAGAAATTTTATTATGCGCCCTTCACAACGTTTGATATCAAACGTACCTAAATTTAAAATCAACTGACGGTTTTGATCAACTGTTTCAAATATGTTACGACATTTATCAGACTTCTACCAACGCACCTGAGGTTAGGCGGGATTCAAACACGAAGGACGATCTCTCCGATAATCCATCGTGAAGTGTGAGTGCAGACAAAGGCTTCTGTCCACGCTGCTAAAGTGCTTTATAGTTCTATGGACAGTGGAACTCTAGAATTTTATCGCCCTTGGCCACTCCTGAAATAACCATTCATGTTCAAGATGAGTATTTCATCGTTCTATGAGGTTTTAATTTTCGAAAACATTTCACTGATTGTGTGTAGACGCACTGAGACTAAGGTGTGTACTCACCTGTCGTCTTACAAGCCACGTACAGCAGCGCTAACTATAACAAGCTGATTAACTTATTATTCCTGTTGTTTCGGGTTTTTGTGAACTGGGAGCATAACTTACCATCCGGACGAGTGTAGAACCAAAGGAACCATTGTTTACCGTTTCTACAACACAAAGTTTGGAGTTCATCCACAGTTGGCAAACAGCAAATCCATATACAATGTTCGTCTTACATATGGACAAAAAGTTTGACCCGTATACATAGTTTGGTATCTCATCAGACAAGCTTATATTTTGACAGCAATTCATATGTTAATAGCTTCATTGGCCATAGGAATGTTTTTACGAATTAATAAATCAGTAAGTATCTTTAGGAATGAGATGTAAGCGAAAGTAAATCTTAATCCTTACTATTCCTACTTGTTGTATACTCATCAGTGGGAGAGCAAGGAAGATCACAACAGATTAACCAGATGAAATAGTACATTTCATCGACCGTACCAAAATACTGACGCATTCAGGCTAACTGCCTAGACGATCACGCACAAGCAACTCAACGTAACACAACAACGTACCCAATGGTGTGGATGCGTGAACATATGCCTTCAGATTAACAAGTAAGTCAGGTAGGAGAAACCTGACAACAATGTATCAAATAACCAGGTTGCTATCTGGAAAGAGATCAACGCAGACAAAACCAATGAAAGATAGTGGAGGAAACCTAGTTACCAAAGAGGAGAAACAAAGGAGACGATGGGCTGTCCACTACAAAAAACTCTTGAATCGACCACCACCACAACCTGCAACTCGTCCACAAATACCACCAGCAACCCAGCCACAGAATTACCAGTGAACACAAGCCCTCCAACAAAAGCAGAAGTGAAGTCCTGAACGCCATAAAGCTGCTGGAATCCAGGAAAGAGCCAGGACCAGGTGGAATCCCGCCACAAGCACTGAGAACAGACAAAGAGACAACAGCGGACATGCTCACACCACTTTTGCAGAAGGTTTGCAAGGAAGGAAGGAGGGAAGGAAAGGTACCTGCCAGTCGATTGGAAGAAGGGCTACCTTGTCAAACTTCCAAAGAAGGGAGACCTAAATCTTTACAGAAACTGGTCCGGAATCATGCTCCTGTCTACACCAAGCAAAATATTAACCCGCATCTTCCTGGACAGACTAAACAATGCTCTGGACTCAAAATTACAACCGGAACAGGCTGGTTGGTTTCAGGAAGAACAAATCATGCACAGATCAAATTGCAGAGCTAGGCTACGCATCATCATGGAACAAAGGCATAGAATGGCAGTCAACTCTCCACCTCAACTTCATCGACTTTGAAAAGGCCTTCAACAGCATCGACCGACAAGTTATTTGGAAGTTGCTTCAATACTATGGAGTACCTACCACAAGCCTTTATCAACTTCATTCAACAGCTATATGAAGGCGCCACATGCTGAGCGATTCACAATGGATAGCTCAGTGACGCCTTTGAAGTGAAGACAGGAGTGAGACAAGGCTGCCGCCTACTATCAGCGATGATCTTCCTGATTGTGGTCGACTGGATCATGCAGCAAACAGTGAGGAGCGAGAAGAGATGGGCATACGCTGGCTGGACAGTTGAAAAGACCCCAGAAGAAGATTTGGATTTCGCCGCCGATGGTGATTTATGTCTAGTGTCTTGTCGCACTCGAAGATCTACAGACGAAAACCAACAAGTTGACAGAAGAGGCAAGGCAGTGAAGACGGGACTTCAAGTGAATGTAGAGGAGACAGAGGTGATTAGGATACCCAACCAACAACAGCATCAACAACAAGAGGCACCAATCACCACCAACGGGAGAAACCTAAAGGAAGTAGTCTCTTTCACCTGCCACCTACCTAGGCTGGGCAGCATCGTTTCAGCTCCAGGCGGCACAGGCACCGATGAGGATGTGAAAGCAAGGACCGGGAAAGCAAGACAGGCCTTCATTAATCTGAGACCAGTGTGGAGATCGACTGCACTCAGCATAAAGCGTGAACAATATCCGGATTTTCAACACCAACGTCAGTCAAGTCAGTGCTTCCATGTGATGGTTTAGAGACTTGGTGCGTTACAAGAGGCATTTCCAACAAACTGCAGATACTCATCAACAGCTGCCACCTACGCTCCCTCGATGCTGACACTGAAGATTAGATGGCCAGAATGATAAGAATAAGCAACAAGGAAGTCTGTCTGGTGACGAACCAACCAAGAACCCATCTCCCAACGAATATGCAGAAGGAAGTGGAGATGGATTGGATTGGACATACACTGAGAAGACTATTTGATGACATGACTCGTCAGGCCCTCGATTGGAATCCACAGGGGAAACAACGATTGTAGCGTCCGAGAGTGACATGGAGGAGATCATGTGAGGAAGAAACGAAAGCTTCTGGGCAGTCGTGGAGCCAGGTTTTAAAGACTGCAGAGAACAGAGTGAAATGGTGACGTGCTACTGAAGCCGTATGTTCCACTGAGAACCCAAGGGAGACATAATAATACCAATAAGAAATATAGTGCATGCATGCTCTCCTGACTAGGTTTTGGAATCGTAAGTTGTTTATTGTCGTCATCAATGTCATCAAAGTA